GTGGCGAACCTATCACAAAAGTGTGACAACAACTTTTCTGAGAGCCCTTCATATCATAATCAGGTGGGTGGATCTATAAATCGCAAAAGCTGACACAAAAGCCGTTCCAACTGGATATAGTTAAAAGCCAGAATGGCCACATTCCTACGGCGGTCACCGAAGCTACAGGATCGCCAAATGCGTGTGTAAGTAAACACTGGTCCCCCCACCTAAATCACGACAGCAGAAGCATCAGTCAAGTAGTGTAAAATGAATCTGCACATCTGTACAGTAATCATTGCCCCATAGCGACAACCGTGAGCCGATAAAGTCAAATAGTTGTACTCAACCAAACATAATGAGGCCTCACGCTTCCGGGAGTAAAAACTATGTGAATGTGTCCAACTACGTTAGAAACGAGTTTCCGATAATATTTTGCGCTCTGATTCGCGGAAACGCACTGGATCGGAAAATCCCATACAGGACCCACCTCCCCTTTGAATCACTTGGCTTAGTTGATCCCCTGAATATTTAAAAAGATGCCAAGCTAATAAAACCACCAGACAAACGTCAGCATCTCAACTGCGCAACACGCCACGTTCTGTTTCATTAACCGGCAAAAGCATAGTTCGGTGTAGGCCTAAATGATAGGCTGTGCATCATGACTGTGGCAGCCCAGTTGGTCTGAAGCTAATGTGTTAGTCAAAATATGTTTCGGCATACTATAAAGTCGTTGAAAGGATCGCCTCAATGCAGGTTTAGTGACAAATCTCTAAATGTGAATCCGGACAATGTCCGCGTAGCTGAATGACTAGATTTTTACGATCAGATTTCAAATCTAATGCTCGCGCAGGATGCCCTCTACTCATCCTGGAAACTATCTCATTAACTTCTATCGGTTCGGTTAGATTGGCACCATATCTTTCTTCCAATGCTTGTTACCTGGCCTGAGCTAAGTAAACTTACTGAACGGCATGGTTCAGTCAGGAGCGACTGGAGCGCTTAAGTCCATTCGAATTCACCGCACAGTTTTAGTTGAAGAGGGCAAGGCAGACAATGGGTTAGTTACAAGCGACATAATAAAGTAACAAAACGCTTTAGTGTAAGCAAACATGTCTTCGAACGGTTGGAGGTATTCTGTTTTAGAAAATAGCATACAATCGACCCACCAAAGCAGTGAACCGCAAAGCAGTGTGAACCGCAAACTTTGCATTTATTGGTTTGGCAGTGCAAGTCCATAAATCGATTGTCCAACACGCAGCGATCGATCGGGTAGGACACTGCTTTCCGCCTGAAGGAAAACAGGTTCGATTTCAGATCCAATGGGAAGCATGCCGTTCATTGATTTGTGCCGTAAGAGGGGTAGTTGAAATGTTGCTACCTACGTGATGATGAATACTCAACTCATAAACCTCTCAACTACTAATGCTGTCACAGTTCGTCAGATTCACTAATTCCACAAGAACCCTGCTTGGTTTGTCAGATCTTCCATTATGAACTACAATAAAATAAGCTTTCAGAGATAATCATCCAGCTGCAACACCCTTTCGGCGCCTAGCTGCCATGTTTATCGTAGGCAGCGTGAGGGACGGGATACTGTCAGGGTGTCCAAGCCTAGACAGGGGAAGTTGAGAGGCAGAGGTCAGGTGCGACACACGGTCCTTCCGGTTAGTGAATTCGTGATCTAACCGCTGAGGCCGCACAGACTCTTAATCTGCTAGTAGGCCTTCAATTCAACACAGGGAACCTAGGTTATCGTTCATGAATACGTAAACACACCACCCACAATCATACAGGCCTACAGTAAATGAAATTAAATGAAGCCTTTCTCCTCAGGTTGAGTTAGTGACTGTCCTAACTGAACACTGTCTTCTCGGTGACACTCAACTGAAACCAACGGCTATTATTTGGTCATGAAGATTAACTAATATCCCGAACTTCAGAACAAAATCCGTGAGAAAATGCGAAAATAAGCAACTCACCTAGTATTCTCATGTGATTATCGTCCTCGATTAGAAACACCTCAGTTAACGAATGTCCAATTTCGTCAGCGAAAGAAACGCGCTTCTGGAGCTTAGAGGTGGAGGAAGAATTGTGTACGATTCTTGCAACTTTGGGAGTTGAGTCTGCTTCGGGGACTGCTTCCGAACAATGATTAATGGTACCCAAGACGACAGGTTCAGTTCCTACCGTGTCTGCTGCAGACGAATCGTCGTAGTGATATCCTTTTTGCAGATTAGACTCCGCTTCCCTTAAAACGAGGTTTCTATCGGGCACAGCAGTCGGACTGGTATCATCCGGTACTTCATTACATGTAAAAAGAACTGAGGGTTCCGAAGCTGAAACTACGTCACTCGTACTGTTAGCAGTAATTACTTTTTCGTCTGTTGATGACCAACTGGCTTCAGGGGCAGATAGAGATTCACATTTTATTCCAGGACTGGAAAATAGCCTAGTGTCTGTCAAGTTCTCCAGACCACCATATCTCGTGTGCAAAGAAGAGCTGAGTGGGACGGACGCTGCGAAATCAGCAGAAAAAGCTTGTCTAACATCTGATCTTTCGATTTGCAGCAACTGGTTTCTTTCCAGTGGCCATGATAGGTCACTCTCACTGATACAGTGGCGACGTTTCGGTTTACTGAGGAGAGAGAAATTTCGTTCGTCCTGAAGAAGTTGATCTAAGTTGGCATCACAAAGAGCTCCAATCAAAGTGCTCCGATTGGACCCGCAAGATTCCGTGTGACTGTTAGATGTTTGATGACCCTCTTTCATATGATTTCGCTTCCGCTCTTCATTTCTGTCGATTACAGACGAGAATAATATCCATGGCAGTTGCCTCAGTTGTTCCGCTGACACGCGTCTATGTCTTATTTTCTTGTGGATGAGACTGAGGACGTGACGAATATTCAAACATTGGTTGACGGTCAGAGCACTGTCTGAAGCGTCATTGAATCTTAAACCTGTAAAGAGAACAAGTTTAGAAAGCTGATATTGTCATGTTTACTTTGAATGAAATTTCCTTTTGACGAGTCGACACATTCAGTAGTCCAACGATTGTGGTTTTGATAAGGAACTTGAAAAAGTTCATTAATGTATTCATCAACTAAAGTTCCGCAACTGTCCAATTCAGAAAGTGAGCCAGTCCAATTTCTGAACATTCCACTGTTGAGACTGACGGCCGTTGCCATACTAATTCATGCGCACTACTAAGTCAGCAATGTAGCTGGACAATCCTCTACTTTTATGTTCACATTCCCGTGAACATGGCTTTTAAAATGCTTTGGGGCGGGCTGTCTGACTGCCCAGAAAACATTAAGGTAACCGGTTGTGCCGGGAAGACAAGTGAAATTCTGCGGCGTTGACAACACCAGACCTCGTGTGGCACGTGTCGCGCGAAATCGGACGAATCAAGTCAGAATAATTTCTGCAATCCGATTGGTTTGTGCAGGGATTGACGCTCCATACCATGGATCGACAGGTTAACCAACACAACTGCTATTGGCTCGCTGGCCGATGTGTCTTGATGCACTCAACCAGACAATCGGCCCACAGTACAAACCTCACAAATCCGCAAACAGACAGTCGCCATGCCGTGGCTGCTGGGCCGAGCCACGAGGATGGTCCGTCAGTTCATCTCTTTTGATTCTGCTGAAAGCCCTGCTGAGTGACCGATGTCAAGTGAATTCAATTTTTTTCGACCGACTCCGTTTATTCCGTGTGGTTCGCTGACCACTCCCCTCTGAGAGTGAAATGCGTGTGTAATAGAGCGGTGTTATTTAAAAAAAAATCACTTTGGTGCAGTGAAGCATTGGTGTTGAGCACTGATGTCATGCTGTCGTTGATGATGATGATGATGATGTGTGGCTATTCGCCGTTTTCGTATTAATAAAAATTGAACTTATAACAATGCAACGTCTGAAATAAAACCCCACTCCCATCGTTAAACATAGCAGAAAATACAGCGCAATCTGTTTGTTTCGAAGTCATCATACTCGTTCGGCAATTTATTGATTACTTTCAGCAGTGGGTCAATACATGGGTTTGTCTTGTTTTTGTGCTGAACTAGGAAGCCGCTTGATCGTGATATATATATATATATATATATATATCACGATCAAGCGGCTTCCTAGTTCAGCACAAAAACAAGACAAACCCATGTATTGACCCACTGCTGAAAGTAATCAATAAATTGCCGAACGAGTATGATGACTTCGAAACAAACAGATTGCGCTGTATTTTCTGCTATGTTTAACGATGGGAGTGGGGTTTTATTTCAGACGTTGCATTGTTATAAGTTCAATTTTTATTAATACGAAAACGGCGAATAGCCACACATCATCATCATCATCATCAACGACAGCATGACATCAGTGCTCAACACCAATGCTTCACTGCCGTACAGCCATGACTTATTTGAAAGCCTTATTGTAAAGAAAAGAATAAAGGTGGATGGGGGAGGGACTTAGTGCTAGCTTAACACAATCATTCCGAGGTGCCTACACCTCCAGACATTCATTCAGGCAATCTGGACAGAAACTGACAACAAGAACGCCACTGACATCGGGTGCCAGCCATATCTTGTAGTGTCTCCAACCAGGCACAGTGAGGATCACGCGGTCCACATCCTGGAAGGCGAGTAGCACCGACAGCACCCAAGCGTTTCGTCATCTCCACACATATTTGTGTGGTTTTCCTGGAAGTGCACAGAAAACCTGCATGCATGAAATATGTCTTAAAATCCATTTCTGGATTTGTCTGTTGCCTGTGGCAGTCATCACAAAGAGCCAGTACTGTGCTTTAAGTTAAATAAAGCACGTGAGCCATGGACAGAATATGGTATATAAAATAAGATAAGCATTCTAGTTTCACTGCTATTCATTCTCAACTTAGGTTGGCTGGTAGATGCAAACTTCAAGTAGGGTGTAATGCCTGAGCTGCAAACAGTTACCACCTCCTAGTTTGTGCATAAGTGGGACTACTCGTGTAATACGATATCGAGATGTAAAGTGCGTTCTTCAACATACCGTACGTTGAGACGAAACAAACTGTTAATTGCTCGACTCCAGGGTTGTCCCGTCTTCAGTCATTTTTCCATTCACTCAAGTAAAATATGTGTAGGAGGGAAGTATGTTTCATCATATAATGATGATGAGCTGAGGATGTAGTTTGCACGTTTAATATTGTGTCATCCACCTCTCATTACAGATACCATCCGGAAACAGATCATCCCACATTTGATTACACTGATTTTCTTGCTTCCGTCCATGTTGTTCGGATTTGGTAACGAGTACATCCAGACAAAAAAAATGACAAAATAGTTGGGATCTTCAAAATGAGGGTAGTTTTACACAGTCAGGAGCACTTGAATCATAGCCTTCCCACTTTTGTGAAAAAGATGTGACGATGGGCTATCGGTCGCTTGGAGTATAAGCTTATTCGCAGAAGGTGTTGTTTTTTGAGGTTCGGAAGTTGATGAAACTCGATCGTTTTCAGGATTCTAGGGGACACGTAGAAAATACACGGCTTGCATTTGGGCTGATGTACCTCATACCCACGCCATGGTCTGTGGCACAATTCAAATTTGTACTCTATCCGACAGTCGCTTTCCTTTCTTTCTTCACAAGCATTTTTTATTCATCTTCAAACCTTGATGGATGTAAATTTTGCTTGTTCCTCTTCCTATTCGCATTATAAACAGTACTGTAAGACAAGGTTGCCAAACTGTGCAGGGACACAGCACTTCAGCGAACTGAACGGGACCTGTCTCACTGAATGTCTGATACAACTTATATTAGGGAAGAAAGACTTACTACGGACGAACTATCAAGTGAGGTCAAGGCCCCGCTTTGCTTGCAGCCGATTGGTGTACACACACAAGGTTGGTCGATACATGTCCAAATCGATTGCGTCACGTGAGCGCCAGCTACGAAGGCTCTAGGAGAGAATCGCACTTTTGAAAATCGGCTGAGAGAAAACAGTGCACGCGAATTATGCCCGTGCCATGACTCAGCTACTAAACGTGTACGGCCATAAAGACTATTAGGCCGGTCTGGATGGATGGAAATCGCCCGGAAATGAGCAAGAGATTCGGCAAAAATTCTGCATAAGTAATTTACTGGTTACAGGTGGGAAAACCGCAATTATATTTATAGGAATTTAATTTGCGAGGCCTAAACACAATCGAGCCGGTTTGTGAAGCAACTTCATCGCAGGTCAGTTCCTAGATTTCGGTTCGGAATATCATGAGTTTCCCTGTGAAAAATGCTGCATCTGAACGAGCGTAACCAAAGGCCACGCTGCAGAAGATTCGTTTGGCGTTACAATACAGCCGTCTGTGATATATGTTCTTTCTTCGGTTCTTAGTTTGGTTGCTCCAGACAACCGCCTGTGCATTGTTGAGGTTCTCTACTAAACTTCTGGTTACCTGAAAGTATGAAATGCACTCTGCAGGAGGAAAGAACTAGTAATCTCAAAGAATATGGGGCGCTACCCCACAGCACCAAGTTTTTGTGGATGCTCTTGTCGAAAATTGGGCCCCGAACCAAGAAAACATTTAACCGTCAGTTCGTCGACAGCCCACAACCGTTTTCGCCCTTGGGGCTCATCAGGTGGGTGCAGTCCTCGAGTTTCCGTGAACCTTATATTCTACTTGAAGCCAAATTGCGCGAAATTAGCGGAATACACTCTTTTGTAGACTACTTTGGCTCTGCAAGAGACTCATTACTCATACATGTATCACGATATCTCGAATATTGTAGTGACTGAAACATGAGGCGGCCTGGTGCAGCACATTCAATTGCCTGAAGACATCACAAACGAGAGATTCAGCTGGGTTCCAGGTGAGTCTGTCGCCAAACCAAATTAGTTAGCAAAAGAGTGTATATCGCTAATTCAAATGTCAACTTTTTGCTTATGAAATCGACATTCTTTTCTCTATCCTATTAAGATCCCTGATGCACGCTACACAAGGAAAGGGAATCATTCGAACAAGAAGTGACCGTTTTCCCGTGGTAGTCTTCTCAATGTCGTCAAGTAAAGTAGTTTGTGAATGGTAAAGAGTGAAAACGGAGAAGTTTAGCTTACTCGGCCACTTACTCCTTGACCATGTTGTGCACATTGGTTCAGTGAAATGAGAAATTTGTTTACCGAGTTTTTTAAATGTAGTGATCACGTTTTTCTTTTCTTTTTATCATTTCACGCAAGGATTTCACGGCGAGTGATAATGGTTTCCTCAGAGGGAATGCTGCTTTCGTGTGTTGTGCTCTGTGTCTGATGAATCCACAACTTTGTAAGTAATCCACAGTGGGGTTGTTCAAGTCTTCCTGTGACAGTTGGGCTGTATTTGTGGTCCACGTAAGTCTTTTATGGGAAAAATGAAAAGACCGATGGTTTTTTTATCACATCGGAACAGCTTGCCGCATGTTCTTGGGCAGTCAGACTGTTTGTCAAGGTGACCTTTGGAGGCATAAACCTATTCATTAAGACGCTGTATGTCTTGCTGCCTCTAACAATCAATCGAGGTAATTCCACTGGGGGTGAACAGGAGTTAGGTGTCATTTACCGCAAAACTGTGAATGCCAGCTGAATTTTTACGTTTTTAGTACCCTTGAGCTGAATGTACTAGAGAAGGGAGTTGTATGATTCGATTAGAACGGTATTCAAGATATCAAAGTGTCATTTTTACCGAAGTAGGAGTGAGGATTGGTAGAAACTGGAGACTGCGCTGCCAAAATGATTTTGAAGTGTGGAGAAGATTTTATCGACATCACATACGGTGGTGCGTCGAAAGAAGTACTTCGATATCATTTCAAAGAAAACATCCGACGGCTCATAAACAATATATCAAACTGATGATTATTACAGCAAAGAGATTTGCTTGAATTGAGTCAACACTTCAACTTTCGGACATATTGAAGCCTAAGAATATACTTTGGGGGCCAGATCTGCCTTATTAGCCCGAAGAAACGGGAATCCCATAATGGACTACAGAGCATCATATTATACAGCGTATTTACTGTACACTATACTGTACTAATTTTCTAAGTCATTCGGAATTGGAAAGGACTTTATCTGTTGCGATATTATTGGGACTTAATTAAGGGATGTGACCGCTTGTGGATAAGTGTAAGTTTATGAACACAGGTTTGTTCTGTCACCCGGTCCCTTAGTGTCTCGGTTGTATTGCTGGTGTGACGCTTCCGGAATGCGTTTTGAGCTCTCATCGACATTGCCATGAGCTTTACTGTGTCTGCTGTTAGTTGAACGGTTCTTGTAGCTGGCCTGGTTTATATAAATCCGTAACTCTTCTTGATCCTCATGATCGAACCAAATTTGTTATCAGACGAAGTAAGATGTAGACCCGCTTTATTTGTGAAGGTGATAGATGCGGCATAGCTGTTCATCCAAAACTTGGTGTTAGGGTTCGTCGGTGGA